GGAGCCTGAAGAAGTATCCCCACTACCACCCACTCGTCCTAGCGAACCCGAGGCTGCCGCGCGGTATGACGCGCTCAAAGCTGTGTGGTCTCCACGTAATAGGCACCCCAATGTTGACAAGGTCAAGAGTGCACTGGTTGCGTTCAAAGATGTTGTCAAAGCCGTAAGAGATTCGTGGAAGGAAAGCAGCCAAGCCATGAAGGTGGCAGAAAACAAGGGTGATAATGACAAAGCAGCGCAACTAAAGAAGAATGTGGTCCTTCAGCGGCGGCTTATGGACGTCGTCGTCAGCACCACCCAGGAGCAAGGCCACCCAACCATCGTCGAGAAGTATGTCCTTTCTCTACTGTCTTCCCTTTCCTTCCCACATCTGGCATGTCCTCGTGGCCATAGAAGTCTGAAACGAATTGAGAGCCTCTCCCATGTAATCTACCTAGTGTGGGCTTTGGCATATAAAAATGTGCTTATAAGTAAGGGTGCATATATGCTCTTCATCCGAGGACTAAACATACCTAGCTGTGTGTCCTCAAGCACGAGGCAAATGAGGATAGAATGCCCATCCTGGATCAGACAAGCAATCTCCTGCCGTCATTGTACAGGTGCCCAAAGGGTGTTCCGTTGTGGTGTCACCCTTCGGAGCGTGAACTTTGTTAGCCTGCGGATGCCTTGCATCTGCTTATTGATATTTTCACGTTCATTTGCTAGATTGTGCCGGTCGCTGACGTATGTGTTTCCAGGTTGGGTGAACATCCAATGGCTGTAGCAGCCCTGTATTCATTCTTGCTGGATCGTCACCAGGCTTCTGATATTGACGGTACTCTGACTGTGAATATACTCAAGGTAAATTACAAAGCGGCTTTGGAACCTCTTATTGAATCAGGACTGACCTTCACTGTAGTTGCTTTCCAGATTCGTGACAATGGATGAAGATGTTCTTCAGAAAACGAACGTTGCCAAGTTACTGCCTAGATTCGTCAAGAAGGGCGGACCGGCAGTGAAAGAGCTGGCTCAAAAGATCATGGACAATGCCGCTGCCTCAACGAAACGGAAACTAGAAGCGGGTAAATCCGCTTCGAAGGACGGTTCGCCTAAACCTTCAGTGGCTGACGAGCCCGTCCCAGATGGACGTGGTGGTGAGGGCACTGGATCTAAGAGGCCCAGAGAAGGTGAAGGGAATGGGCAACCAGCAACCAAGCGAATGGTTGTCCCTGCACACCCCAAACCGGCAGCAAAACCAAACAGCACTGTGGTTTCTGGTGTCAGCAAACGCCCGCAGGAGGTAGGACAAGATAGCAAACCAGCTGCAGCTAATGCAGCCCGCCCAAAGGCCAACATAATTGCACCGAAGCCTACCAGCCTGTTTGGTAGTTTGAGCTCGGCCTCTAAAAGACCTGGAACATCGAACGCAGAGCGAGCGGCCGCAGCGGCCGCAGCGAAAGCAAGGTGCGTGTCATTTCATTATCTTTCTGCTAGTTTGATGGCTAACATAATGAGCAGTAACCCTGCGGAAAAGAAGGAACCCCCGCCCCCAAGGCCTACTTTCTCATTCGGGGATTTGATGGCAGATTTGAACAAGCAAAAGGATCCTGCTCCTGTACAGCCTGCGGAGGATAGACCCCCCGAGACCGAAGAAGAACGGAAGAAGAGGTTGCGTAAAGAGGCACGCCGGAAGTTGCGTGTCACATGGAAGCCTGATGCGTCACTTACGGAAGTTCGTCTATTCACGCATGACCCTGAAGAAGAACTCGGCCCTGGCGATCACCTGGGAGATGTCAAGGGTGAAGGCAGTGTGCTAAAACTTCACCGAGACCTCGACGAGCTTGAGGAGGAAGATGACGGTGGCATCCGTGAAGAGCAATTGTTCGACTACTATGAGCCTTCGGGTAGGTCGTTGAATTTTGTGATGTTGTCGTTTTGTGTCTGGATACTAACCGACTCAGAAATTGACAACGGCGACATCGCACCCGACGATCGCGCGAGAAACTACATCAAGCGCGGCGGCACTGCTGAGCCGACTAGTCCCGAAAAGAGTGCTCAGGAGCATCGGGAGGCCACGACGCTTATGGTCTTCTATACCTCGCCAGCAGACGTACCGTCGACACCAAAGGAACCTCCCCCAGCGGAAGCGGAAGACACCGCCCCCGAAGTTGTTTCCTTTGGGGAACTACCGGACCATGTCAAGGTATGTTCCGTTTCCCATTTTTGCATTCGACGTCTTCTGACAACCGTGCTAGGCCCGACAAGATCGATACTTCGCGATGGTGAACCCTAAGCCAGCACCAGCTCCCCAGAGCGCACCGAACGCGCCATTCGATATCTCGAATTTACTCAAGATCATCCAAAGCGCGCCTCAGCAACAATCTACTCCACCACTAGCTCAACCCCAAGTCGCCCAAGCACCCATGTCCGATCTTGAGCGAACCTTCAGCATGTTCCGCCAGCAGCAGCAGCAGCAGCAGCAGCCGCCCCCGCCTCCGCAGGCACCATTGCTGCAAATGCCCCAGTTCCCACCGGCTTCTCAGCCTCAAGCTGCTCAGGGGGTAGATTTCCAGGGACTTTTGTCGATCTTCAATGCTCAAAAGCAGATGCAACCTGCACCCATTGTACCGCAGGTCCAGCCATCCCAACCTAGCATTGCTCCTAATCTGGCCGCCATTATTTCCCAATTAACTAGTCAAAACCAATCAGCTGCGGCCAATGGGCATCCGCCGCCAGGCCACTACGAGGATCCAGAGCGGAAGCGTATACGTGAAACCGGCGGATATGACGGAAACGACGATGAAAGGTTCAATTCCAAACGAAGCAGATCAAATGAGCCGAACAAGAAGCATGTAAGTGCCTCTCACTTTGCATTGTTTTACTCCAATGCTAATATAACTCTAGCCCAAAGCAGGATTGGTTCCTTGTCGGTACTGGCGAGAAGGCAAGTGCCGCAAAGGTGACGAATGCACGTTCCGCCATGATCCCTTGGACTGACGCTTCTCTTTCTCTTCTCCTGATACCCCTCTTGGTTCTCCTTCGTTTATAAATTTCTGTAATTTCACATTCTCGCATTTTTATATCTTACCATTGTACATTTGCCTTGCATGTGTTGCATTGTCAATCAACGGTGTCCCAACCTTTCCTTATGTTGGCAGAATTTTCATAGCGTCACGCATCTCATTTCGGAGCATACCATATGTGGAGTATCTAAGGTGTTGCGTGAGGATTACGATTATATGTCTTATTCTCTCTATCGGCTACACGTTTCTGAGTGTGTTGATGCTGTGTCTGGCGTTCGGGGTGTGTGGCTGCTCAAGAACGAGCAGACTAGCATGTACATTAATAGTGATCAACCGTGGCAAGGGTTTATCTGCCGCCGAAACAACCAGCGACCATAAATCCTTTGTTCAATTCTTTCTTCCATGTAGCTTTAAGCTTAACAATGATAATCAATTTATCCAATGATATTATCCCCGTGTCCCTTACACATTCACATTGATAGCAATATCGATAACCCGCTTAGGTAATCCCATAAACATGTCAGTACAGTACTAGTTAGTTAAACACCTCCATCCACATTAATCAACAATCACCATCACCACCAACGCCTCAACTTTGTGAGCACTACATCAACACATTTCCTATAAATACACCCCACCCCTTAGCCACCCCTCTTAGACCCACACATTCCCCTTATACCCAACTCATAACCCCAACCCATAATGCAAACCCAACAACCCCACTACACCCACCTAATCATCGTCTGCTGCCACGCCATATACACCGGCGGGCCTACAAATGGTCAATCCGAAGATGAATGGTACGCAGCCGTCCCCATGATCCCACCCCTAGATCCTACCGCCAACGGTCAATGTATAATTAATTATCTGATGCTAATAAGGGAAACAGGATCATAGAACCCTTCCAAAAGGGCGAAACACCCACGTTCACAAACCACGTCAAGGCAGGATTGCAGGCTTTGGCTGATGATCCGGATGCTTTGCTGGTGTTTTCGGGGTACGTATGATGCTTATTACTCGTCTGGCTGGTTCTGCTTGTGCTATGTTTGGGTGATTAAGGGTTGAGGGCGTGGGTGTATGGTTATAAATTTTGTAGTATTGTGTTGGTTGGCTTGTTTGCTGATGTATGGGCAAATATAGGGGACCTACGAAGAAAGGACGCACGGATCTTGCGGAGGGGGTGTCGTATCTTGTAAGCTACTCCCTTCAATCTGTGATGGTTTATCCGTGTCTATTTTGTCTATCTCTTCTCCCCCGTGACATGACAAGGAATGGTTGTTCACTAATACACCACGCCAGAACCTCGCCAAAGACAACAACTACTTTGAATTTGCTCCGCGGATAAACCCCGCACAAGTGGTCGCTGAGACCCACGCTACGGATTCATACCAGAATGTCTTGTTCTCGATGCTCCGGTTTAGACTGTGCACAGGTGTTTATCCGCGCCGGGTGACTGTTGTAACGCATGAGTTTAAACGGAAGCGGTTTGTAGAGTGTCATTTTTCGGCCTTGGGCCTCTCCAGCACTGCATCTACGGTTGTTGGGATTAATCCGCCGGAGGAGGTGACGCCATTGGCTTCCCTTGTGGCTGGGGAGGAGAAAAGTGGGATTGGGTTGTGGAGGAGTGATAGATATGGGGTGCAGAGGGAGTTAGCGGGGAAGAGGGTTAAGCGTGGGTGGAGGGCCGGAATGGAGGATGGGGTGTTTGTGAATGTGGGTTTGGAGGCTGTTGTGGAGGAGTTGGTGAGGTGGGATGGAGGGGAGAACGGGAATGAAAGGTTTCCTAGAATGGAGGAGTTGCCTTGGTGGGGACAGGTGTGATAATGTAATAATGCAGATAGATTCGTTAGTCATTGGTAGATAGCAATCATGCTGGTTGCGAGAAAATAGATGTAGAATACACAGTGATGAAAAGATGCCCGAAATGCTCCCGAATACAGATCCCGCCCTCTCTTCCGTAACGCCTCCGTTTAAACACCTGATGATGTGGGGAAGTGACTAGTCGGCAAGACGATAGCTGACGAGTGTCTCTACGCGGTGGTTGTTGGTACTGAAGCTTCGGAGCTGCACCTTCTCTGCGTTCTTGATCTCTTTGGCGTCGCTGTCGCCCCATTCCACGGGGACCTCGGAGTCGGCATCGGCGTACACCAGGACGTTGAATGTGCAGTCGCCATCCAGGACGGGCAGGAATGTGACTGATGCGGTGATCTGGCGGAAGATAGCCTGGATCTCGTCTTGGATCTCCTTCTCTGTTTTCTCGACGGTGGCAGCGGCTTGGGGATCCTTATCACTGTAGAAGGCGAGGCCTGGTTAGCGGGGTGGAGTGGGGGGTATAGTGGTAGAAACCTACCCAGGAGCTGCGTTCTCCTTGTCGCCAGTAGTGCGGGATGATTGGCTCTTGGAATGCTTTCCGAAGATTTGCACCTGATACCTCGTTAGTCCTGTACACGGTGAGAGGACATAACTTGCGTACATCAAACTGCCATCTTTCCACGTGTTCACCAGTTTCCTTGTCCGTGATGACAATAACAAGCTTAGAGATCTTGCCACCCGTCATCCATTTGTTCAATTGCGACATTATCTTCTTGATGTAAGCTTTGACCTGGTCGTCGGCGGTAACTACTATTGGTTAACAAGGCAACTCCAGTAGCAGGTTCGTAGTGACAAACCCAGCATGTTGAGACCATATTTCTTGACACTTGGTAAAACTGGTTAGTCTGCTTCCATAATAGCAGGCGTACGGCACTCACGTCGTGAAATCCTCTGGAGGGTAGACTCCTCTCTGGAAGCTGGAAGACATTAGATGGGCACTTCCGTGCGAAGATTGGCAATAAACCTACAGAATCGAGTTGATGGAGTACTCAAACTAGGCTCATTAGTATTTTTTTGGATTGAATCTCAGACAAAAACGAAAAACTCACGAATTCGGCCACCAGCTTCGCCGATCCTGCTTGTGTATAAGCTTCTGCTCATATCTCACAGACTATTAATCCGTACCTTTCAAGGACAGCTTGTGGACCTTAGACTTATCCTTAGTAGCGGACATGATGGCTGTGAGAGTTTCTGGGATTGAAGTGTTGACGACAAGCTGCTCAGCGTAAAGGGTTGCATGCGAGGGGAAAGAGGGAAGCTTTGTTTATCGAGACAGTCACCGCGGCAATCTGACTGACCGCCCGCCGGCCTGGTCTCCGCAGCCGCACTTTTTCCGCCCGCAAACTGGACGGAGACTTGCCTGTGCCTGACCGTGTCTGCAGTCCGCATACTATCTCGTCCAAGCAATTCATTCCCATGCAATTGCAGACCTCCAGATGCGAGGATGCCTGCAGTTAGCCAGGTGGCTGCGCGCAGCACCGAAATGTCCTGCTGCAAGCCTTCTCAAGCCGCCGTCCGGCCTTGCTAATCCAGCCCGGTTTTTCACGACTTCCGCCGCATGCTGGGCATCGCGCGGCAGGGCACCGGCCAGCCAGCCAGCCTCCGACCTTGAATCAAGAATCGCAGCTATCCCGATCGACCGATACCGTAACTTTTGCATTGTCGCCCACGTCGACCATGGCAAAAGTACCCTCTCCGATCGGCTGTTGGAACTTACCGGAACCATCCAGCCTGGTATGAACAAGCAGGTCCTGGACAAGCTTGACGTCGAGCGTGAACGGGGTATCACGGTGAAGGCACAGACATGTACAATGATATACAACCATAATGGCGAGGACTATCTGTTGCATCTGGTGGATACACCGGGGCATGTGGACTTCCGTGCGGAGGTTTCGCGCAGTTATGCCAGTTGCGGAGGAGCGTTGCTGCTAGTCGATGCCAGTCAAGGTATCCAGGCTCAGACAGTCGCCAACTTCTACCTCGCGTTCTCTCAGGGTCTGGAGCTGATTCCCGTCATCAACAAGGTGGACCTGCCGTCCGCTGACCCGGACCGTGCTCTTGACCAGATGGAACAGTCCTTTGAGCTTGACACGGAAAGTGCAGTAATGGTATCAGCCAAGACCGGTCTAAATGTACATCAATTACTTCCTACTGTGGTTGAGAAGATTCCGGCGTAAGTTTGGTCTATACAAACCCTTTTAGCCAAGCATTGAAACTGACTCAAAAAGACCGGTGGGAGATGTTAACAATCCCCTACGGATGCTTCTCGTTGATTCCTGGTATGATTCGTACCGAGGTGTCATCTGCTTGGTCCGCGTTTTCGACGGTGAAATTCGGGCAGGAGACCAGCTTGTGTCGTTCGCGACTGGAATCAAATACTTCGTGGGTGAGGTCGGCATTATGTATCCCAATGAGACTGCCCAGTCGGTCCTTCGCGCTGGCCAGGTCGGCTACATCTTCTTCAACCCCGGTATGAAGCGAAGCAAGGAAGCCAAGATCGGTGACACCTACACGAAGGTTGGGTTTGAAAAGGTTGTCGAGCCGCTTCCGGGCTTCGAAGAGCCCAAGGCAATGGTTTTCGTGGCCGCCTATCCCGTGGACGCGGATCACTTTGAGCACTTGGAAGATAGTATCAACCAACTTTGCCTGAACGACCGGAGTATTACTGTGCAAAAGGAATCGTCCCATGCTCTTGGAGCAGGTTTCCGGTTAGGCTTCTTGGGAACACTGCATTGCTCTGTCTTTGAGGACCGTCTGCGCCAGGAGCACGGTGCCAGTATCATCATTACTCCTCCTTCCGTTCCCGTGAAACTTGTCTGGAAAGACGGCAGGGAAGAGATTATCTCCAACCCCGCCAAGTTCCCGGAGGATGAAGAGTTGCGCGGTAAGATATCCGAAATTCAGGAGCCTTATGTCGTCGCTACTTTGACCCTCCCCGATGAGTATCTCGGAAAGGTCATCGAGCTCTGCGAATCCAACCGAGGCGTGCAGAAGAGCCTTGAGTACTTCACATCGACTCAGGTCATTCTCAAGTATGATCTGCCCCTTGCGCAGCTGGTCGACGACTTCTTCGGAAAGCTCAAGGGCTCTACTAAGGGCTACGCCACCCTTGATTACGAGGAATCGGCGTGGCAAACAAGCAACATCGTCAAGTTACAACTTCTGGTGAATAAGGCGCCAGTAGATGCGGTCGCAAGGCTCGTGCATTACAGCCAAGTAGAGCGATTGGGCAGACAATGGGTGACCAAGTTCAAGCAGCACGTTGACCGACAGCTCTTCGAAATCGTTATCCAAGCAGCTGTTGGCCGCAAGGTTGTGGCGCGTGAGACCGTCAAGCCGTACCGGAAGGATGTCCTCGCGAAGCTGCATGCCAGTGATGTCAGTCGGCGCAGGAAGCTCTTGGAGAAGCAGAAGGAGGGACGTAAGAAGCTGCGGGCGGTTGGAAATGTGGTGATTGAACAGAAGGCATTCCAGGCTTTCTTGGCTAAATAATGGGCACCTTCATGCCTGCCACTGTACAGTATACTATATCATATGTACTTCTGCTGTATTATTATATTGATAAATAGAACTTGCATATGAATGCCTCTTTCCATTGACAATGATGTCTGTATAGAATTGTAGTATGCAGTGTGAATACCGGGCATCCCGGGGACTCTGATTGGCGGAGCGGCGGAAGCTGGAGCTTACAATTTAACCGCAGAAAAGTTCGTCGCCGACCCCGCCGCCGCGGTCGTCTGCAATTTCTCCCCCTCCCGCGGTCGCTTTCTCCTGCTGGCTTTCCTTCCTCCAGGTCCACAAGCTGCAGTGCTGCAGGGTGCAATACTGATCATCATTTGTCTGGGCGACCTTCTTGCTCGTCGTACGGTGATTTTAGCGCCGTCGCATTCTACCCGTTGAGTCAGTGTCGCCTTGCCATGATCATCATCTGACAACGGCGATGCAGCCTCCAGAAGGTGTGCAGGTCGACCTGGGCAAGGCCCAGGTCATTGACCGCGTTCCCAAAGTTATCAAGGAGTTGAAGTTTGGTGTTCTGTAAGCATAACTCTGCTTCTCCCAGTTCTACCCCTCTTGGATCTCCGCTGCGGAGCAGTCAAGACTAATACCGTGCGCCAATCGTCCAGGTCCAACGATGACATTGTCAGCCAAGGTGTGGTGGAAGTTTCGGATCGCAAGTTCTTCGATCTCGACCATGATCGAGCGGTGGTAGCCAATGGTCCTCTCGATGCGCGCATGGGTATTTCCAACAAGACCTCATCATGTCAGACTTGTGGTGGCGCCCTCCAAGTTTGCAATGGACACTTCGGTCACGTCAGGCTCGTGTTGCCTGCTTTCCACGTCGGTTATTTCAAGCGAGTCATCACTATTCTGCAGGAAGTTTGCAAGGAATGTTCGCGCATTCTGCTCCCCGAAGCCGATCGCCGTGCCTACCTTCGTGAAATGCGTCGTCCTGGGTTGGATAATTTGCGGCGCGGCCAGATCGCGAAGCGGATTAACGAGCGGTGTCGCAAGACACGCAACTGCGAGGCCTGTGGTGCGGTTAACGGTGTGGTGAAGAAAGCTGGAACGAGCGCCCTCAAAATTACTCACGACAAATTCCGTGCATTCAACGCCTCGACTTCCGTCAAGAAAGTTCCGCCGCCTAGCAAGATTGTTTTCGACCGGTCATTCGACGAAGCCAGAACATCGAACGCGGAGGTTGAGAAACATTACAAGAAGGCCCAGGATGATATGAACGCTCTCCGCGTGCTGAACCTGTTCAAGAAGATTTCCGATACCGATTGTGAGCTCTTGGGTCTGAACCCGAAGGAAGCAAGACCGGAAATGTTCCTCTGGCAGTTCATTCCCGCTCCTCCGGTGTGTATTCGTCCTTCCGTCGGTCAGGATGCGGCGTCCACCGAGGACGATTTGACAGCCAAGCTAGGCGATATTGTTCAGAGCAACATCAACCTGAAGAATGCACTGTTGAAGGGTGCGCCGGTACAGACAATCATGGAGTGTTGGGACTACATGCAGCTACAGATTGCCGTGTATATCAACAGCGATGTGCCGGGTCTGAACAAGGCAGACCTTGGAAAGCCCATTCGTGGTTTTGTGCAACGTTTGAAGGGTAAGCAGGGTCGATTCCGTGGTAACTTGTCCGGAAAGCGTGTGGATTTCTCAGGCCGTACTGTCATCTCCCCCGATCCTAACCTGCGGGTCGACGAGGTTGCGGTCCCTGAGTTGGTGGCCAAGAACATGACCTATCCTGAAGTTGTTACTCGGTACAATAAAGAGAAGCTACAGCAGAGAGTCCGAAACGGCACGAAGAAGTGGCCGGGTGCAAACTACATCATGAAGAAGGGCCAGACATTCAAGCTCTTCCTTAAGTATGGTAACCTGAACATGATTGCCGACCAGCTGCAGGAGGGCGATGTTATTGAACGTCACATCGAGGACGGTGATATTGTTCTTTTCAACCGACAGCCCTCTCTGCACAAGCTCAGTATTCTGTCTCACTTTGCCAAAGTCCGTCCTCACCGGACGTTCCGATTGAACGAGTGTGTCTGTAACCCTTACAACGCGGATTTCGACGGAGACGAGATGAACCTGCACGTGCCTCAGACGGAGGAGGCGAGAGCCGAAGCGATGGAACTGATGGGAGTTAAGAACAACTTGGCCACGCCCAAGAACGGAGAGCCGATTATTTCTGCCATTCAAGATTTCATTAGTGCTGCCTACATTCTCAGTAGCAAGGACAACTTCTTCGACCGCCGCTCGTTCACCCAGATTTGCCTGTACATGCTGGGTCCGCAGACACGCTTCGACCTCCCCCCTCCTGCTGTGCTTAAGCCTCAGATGTTGTGGACCGGAAAGCAGGTTTTCAACATTCTCATGCGGCCGAACAAGGATGACCCTGTTTTGGTCAACCTGGATGCTGCATGCAGAGAGTTCAAGGCTCCCAAGGATGGTAGACCACGCGATCTAGACCCGAAGGATGCCTGGCTCGTCATCCGAAACTCTGAGGTGATGTGTGGTGTGATGGATAAGTCCACCATTGGTTCCGGAAAGAAAGACAACGTCTTCTATATTATGCTGAGAGATTACGGGCCGGTGGCGGCTGCTGAGGGTATGAACCGCTTGTCCAGGCTCTCAGCCCGCTGGTTTACGAACATGGGATTCTCGATCGGTATTACCGACGTATATCCCAGCGAAAAGCTCTTACGTTCGAAGCATAACCTCGTCGAAACGGCCTACGCACAGTGTGACGAAGTCATTGCCAAGTACAAGGCAGGCACGCTGGAGAAATATCCTGGTTGTGACGAATTGCAGACCATGGAGAACCAATTGTCCGGTATTCTCAGTAAGGTCCGTCAGCAGGCAGGTGACGAGTGTATTGCTCAACTGAGCAAGTACAACTCGCCCCTAATCATGGCCACGTCTGGATCCAAGGGTTCCAGTATCAACGTGTCCCAGATGGTTGCCCTGGTCGGACAGCAGATTATCGGTGGTCAGCGTGTGCAGGACGGCTTCCAGGACCGTACCCTGCCGCACTTCCCCAAGAACGCTCGCCAGCCCCCGTCCAAGGGTTTCGTCCGGAACAGTTTCTTCTCCGGACTCGAGCCCACGGAGTTCATCTTCCACGCCATGTCCGGTCGTGAAGGTCTGGTCGATACGGCTGTCAAGACTGCCGAGACGGGTTACATGTCTCGTCGGTTGATGAAGTCGCTTGAAGATCTCTCAACCAGATATGATGATACCGTGCGTAACTCGTCGGCGGCCATTGTCCAGTTCCAGTATGGTGATGATAAGCTTGATCCCTTGGATATGGAGGGTAAGGCCAAGCCTGTCCACTTCGACCGGACTTTCATTCACGCCGAATCCACGACTTACAAGAATGACGAGCGGAGTTTGCTTCCGGCTGAGATCATGGAGATCTGCGAGGAGATGCTTTCGAAGGAGCGCTCCAAGTTGGTGCGGAAGGATTTGATGGGCAACGAGCTCGGCTACATGGATCGGTCTGACCATGGTATCGATCAGTTCGAGAGTGCTCGTGACTTCCTCGAGTCTATTCAGCAATACGTCGCTACGAAGGCTGACAAGCTAATTTCCCGCGGTGGTGACATCGACCCCAACGACGAGAGAAGTCAGAAGGGTCTCAACCACACCGGCAAGCTGACCGAGCGGACACTCCGCACTTTCATCTCCTCATGTTTGATGAAGTACAAGAAGGCCCAGGTCGAAGCTGGCCACGCCGTTGGTGCAGTTGGTGCGCAGTCCATTGGTGAGCCTGGTACGCAGATGACGCTGAAGACTTTCCACTTTGCTGGTGTCGCCGGTATGAGTATCACGCAGGGTGTGCCCCGTATTAAGGAAATTATCAACGCGTCGAAGGAGATCAGTACGCCTGTCGTTGCTTGCGAGCTCGTCACGAAGGACAATATCATCGCGGCGCGGATCGTCAAGGGACGTATCGAGAAGACTTACTTGCGAGACATCATCCACTATGTCCGTGAGACATGGACGGGCAAGGAAGCCTACATCACGGTGAAGATCAACTGGAAGACCATACAAGACTTGGCGCTGGAGCTGAAGATCGAGAACATTTTGTCGGCGATCAAGAACCACAAGCGGTTCAAGGCGGACGATCTGAAATTCCGCTGCTCACGGTCCCACATCCACGTCTACATGGACGTGGACCCGTCCACCAAGGCCAACCTGTCTAAGACGGAGATCGCCCACACCAGTTCCGATCCTTTCCTCCGTCTGAAGCACCTGAAGCGCATGCTTCCCGACATCCAAGTCCTGGGTCACCCCCAGGCCTTCCGTGCCATCATCCGAACCGACGAGACGTCTACCACCAACACGCTTCTGGTAGAAGGCTACGGTCTCCGGGAGTGTATGACGACGATGGGTGTGGACGGACTGCGCACGTCAACCAACAACGTGATGGAGATGCGGGACGTTCTCGGTATCGAGGCAGCGCGGACGACCATCGTGCAGGAAATCAGCGAGGTCATGAAGGACATGGACATTGATCCGCGACACATGCAGCTGCTGGCCGATGTCATGACCTACAAGGGTGAAGTGCTGGGTATCACGCGATTCGGTCTTGCGAAGATGCGTGACTCCGTGCTGCAGCTGGCGTCGTTCGAAAAGACGGCAGACCATCTCTTTGACGCCGGTGGCGCGGGTCGTAGCGATCTCATCGAGGGTGTGTCCGAGTGTATCATTATGGGCAAGACGGTGTCGCTGGGAACGGGAGCGATGGAGGTGGTGCGCAAGATGAACTTCTTCGAGGGACAGATCGGGGCACGCAAGACGACGTTCGAAGATACATGGAGCGAGGTGTACGAGGCGCCATTGGAGAGAGCCAAGGCAGCTCGTCGCAAGCGATCATGATATATACATAAAAAAGCACTCGATAAAGAGGACTTGTAAAAGGGACGGGTTAAAAGCATACCAGGCGTTGTATGTTGTGTACTTGTGTACTTTTAGCGATAGCAGAAAACTGCAATTTCACACCACTATGCCTTTTAAAAGTAGTATAGTATATCATGAAGACTACCTACCTAGCACTTATCATAAAATAGTAGTTACTCTGGTGGTTGCAGCAGCGTCAATACTACCTGCTTAATAAGTCCGATAAAGCCATCCATCCATCCATCCATTAATATACCGCCCCACCCGAACTTTTCGATAACATCGATTTCTCCCCTCACCCCTCCATATATCATCCACACCCTCTCCTCTCACCACCACCACCTCCTACACCCTCCATACGACATACCCTACACACACAAGTTACCGTCCTCACCACCACCTCCGCCTCCCAACCGACCTCGAATCCAACGACAATAACCACCACAATGACAACAGAGACCTACACACCCCCACCCCTCCCCCCACCCTTCCACCACACCCCCTCTCACCAAATGCACCTAATAACCCAAGGCGCCGAAGCCCACCTATACAAAACGACCTACCTGAGTCCCTCCACCCCCGCGGCCCTCAAGATCCGCCCAACAAAGCCCTACCGCCACCCGATCCTCGACCGGCGATTGACGCGTGCCCGCGTCCTCCAGGAAGCAAGGTGTCTTGTGCGTCTGGTGCGCGAGGGCGTGAATGTTCCGGCTGTGTTGGCGGTGGATTGGGATATCAATAATACCAACAAGGACAACAACAACCATAGTGGTGCTGGGGGGGATGTGGGTGAGGGTGTTAGGGGAAATGGGGCGTGGATTCTCATGGAGTGGATTGAGGGATGTGTGGTGAGGGTTGTGATTCAGAGGTGGGAGAGGTATATCAAGTCTCGCTCTGCATCTGGTTCTGGTGGCTCTTCTTCTGGGGTGGGTGTTGGGGCGAAGAGGCAGGTTGATGGGGAAGTCAAGCTACAGGATAATGAGATTGAGGAAGAGGAGAAGAAGGTCAAGGGGTTGTTGAGACGGGTTGGGGCTGCTGTGGGTGCGTTGCATAAGGCGGGTGTGGTGCATGGGGATTTGACCACGAGTAATTTGATCTTGAGAGGTGCGGTTGAGGGTGAGGTTGATGGGGAAGGGGAAGGAGTGAGTCCTGATATGCAGGGTGAGGTGGTGTTGATTGATTTTGGTCTGGCGAGTCAGAGTATTCAGGATGAGGATCGCGCGGTGGATTTGTATGTCCTGGAGCGTGCGTTTGGGAGTACGCATCCCCGTACGGAGCCGTTGTTTGGGGAGGTGCTCGAGGGGTATCGCGCGAGTTATCGCGGGTCGGGGTCGGTGTTGAAGAGGTTGGAGGATGTGAGGATGAGGGGGAGGAAGAGGAGTATGATTGGTTAGGTCTATCATTATTGTTCTTTTTTGCGGGGATAGAGGGATGGTGATGGTGAATGTGCTTGTCATTGAGTCGTTATGTATATGAAGAGAAGATTTAGAAGTAGAACTGGAATGATATGAACAGAACGAATAACGCCAGCCGTGCTTATCCATGCGAGGGTGTAATCATGTAGTGAGCAGACGAAGAAAATGGAGGAGGATGGTTATGATCTCTTCACGCAGCTGCCTACATCCGCCAGCGCAAAATATCCCTTATTCTCCACCACCCCCCGATCCTTCACCACAGCCGTATACTTGACCACCCACTGCGGCTCGATATCACCCTGGATACCGTCCGGCGCATCCGGCGACGAAGCCAGAATCCCCGCGCCCTTTTCCCCAGGCCCAAGTAGGTCCCGAGTCGTGCCAACAGGCAAGATATCCATGCAGTCGTTATGCGTCAGCAATTGAATGTGCTCTTGCTTAGCGTAGAGGATCAGCGACTTAGGCACGACACAACAATCCTTCAGATTGATCTGATCGACAGACGGCTTGACCTTTGTGTGGGGAAGGAATCGGGCGAGCCGTTCGCTCCCGAATTCCGCGACGCCCAACTGTGAGATCATGCCCTGTTCCTGCAGACCCTCGAGAGTGCGCCATGTCTGGATCATGCTGTCAAAGTCATCGGGTTCTTCACTGCCATTGTCGGAGGAGACTTCTTCGTCGCTGTCGTCGTCGGCGTCGAAGAGGATCCCCGGGAAGGAGACGATCAGCAGGTCGATGGAGTCGACGTGCAGCTCTTTGAGAACGAGGTCGATGGCTTCGCGGGTGTGTGCGCAACGCCGGGAGGCAGGGATGCCCGGGAGGTAGAATAGTTTGACGGTGATGTCGTATTGGGAGCGCTCTTCGGAGAGACCGTGCGCGAAATCAGTCGCGGGGATGTATAGGGCGTTGTCGCCTTGTTTGGTCCAGGTGGTGTAGGGAGGACGGTCGCTGGAGGGGTCTGCAGCGTGTTGGGCGGCTTGAAAGTTTGTGCGCAGGGAGTTGATCAGTTCGACGTTGGACTTTTCGGTGGGATGGCGGATGATGGTCTCGCCGCTTATCATGATATTTCTGTGGTTGTTAGCGGGGGATTGGGAGGGTATGAGGGTAGACGTACGAGGAGGAGAGAATGAGCTTCATGATGACGGGATTTCGAGAGGATACTTCGAGGAGAGAAGGGATGTAGACGAGGGAAAGAGGGGGATTCGGAGATGGAATGCGCTGAAGTTGGCGGGGAGAAAGATAAAGATGGATGGATTGGTTCAATTATTGCTAAGCAGCCCCGCGGGGACCGGCCCGCCTGTCTTGTGCTTATCCATCCACAGCCTTTATCCATTCATAACCCTGAGTTTACTCTGTACACTCCGGTTTCATTACATACTAACTGGTCTACATCTAGTCGTAGTCCACGGTGGGATCCCAATCCGTGGGCGAGTATTCGCCTGTGTGCAATAACTTCATCTCCTCCTCTGTAAATGCGAAATCAAACACCTCCGCATTTTCTTGAATCCGACTGGGCGTCACCGATTTGGGCAGAGGCACAAATCCCTACATCGTCAGCATGGAGTCATTCCAAATGCTCCTAGAGAACTTACCTTCTGTAGTCCCCAGCGGATCATGATCTGTGCCGGCGACTTGCCATACTTCTTTCCCAGCTCCTTCAACACACGCTCGCCCATGCGCGTCCCATGCGCCAAGGGAGAGTAGGCCTGCACCACGATATTGCGTTTCTGCAACCACTCTGCAATCTCCGATCGGTCTAGCCACGGGTGCAGCTCATACTGGCCGACGTCGATTTGTCCCCCTCCGCCGGACTTGATGTATTCTTCCAGCTCATCGAGGTGGTGGATTCCATAGTTCGACACTCCAATGGATCGGGTCTTGCCGGCTTTCTGTGCCTCCACGAGGGCCTTCCACGAGCCGAGACGGGCTTCTTTTCCGCCGTAGGGAGCATGTAGCAGGATTCTAGTCCTGTCAGCAGCATCTTCTTATAATGGATGTAAGCACGTAGTGTAAACTGACAGGTCGAAATACTCTTGCTGTGCTTCACGCAGACTTGAGTCGATAGCTCGCTTGGTGCGATCGTATCCCATCGATCCTGGGGGAATCTTGGTCGTGAAGAAGATCTCCGACCGGGGAAGACCGGAGTTTGCGATGGCGCGCCCACAGGCCTTCTCGTTGCGGTACATGATGGCAGAGTCGACCTGGCATCTGATGAGTGTGACGAATGATGGGAGGGGAAAAGTATTACCTACATGACGGTAACCGATTTTGAGTGCTTCGAGAACGGCTTTCTCTGTTTGGGATGCCGGACTGGAAAGTCAGTTGGGATCTAAGTTGAAGCCTGGCTCAGTGGACGTACATCAGATAGACCTGGTTCACTAGTTAGTTTGCCTGGTCGGATGGGGAAGGTTCAGGATAAGCTCACCCCGTATCCAAGGATGGGGATCTCATGGCCAGAGTTTAGACGATAAGTTGAACGGAGACTCTGTAGAGCAGACATAGTGAGTTTACTGTCACAGAAGATATGAAGGAATGCGAAGAAGATAGATTGATGGAGGAGTGGATGGCTACTTTGTTTGATTAGAGAAGACGAGCGATGAGATCATCGCGGTGGGGTTGGAGGTCTGGCCTTAACAAAGAAAGCCCTTAATAATAACAAATTAATAAATTATACTTTGTAGATTTGTATCTGCATCTTGGCAACCATTGCAGCATTCTAGAGTCTGCATATTATTCTTTTTCTTCTGTCAGCTGTATACTGTACATTAGTTAGCTCCTGCTTAGCCCCGTCCGGCTTGGGTGGAAGAAGACAGACACAGGGCTGCCTTGTTCATTCCGAAGCTGACCGAATTACTTTTCAGCTTCTCCTTTCCCCGCAAATGGCGCCATCTTTATTCCGACTTGTGATTTCCATCTGACCCTCTGCAGGCTTGCTTTTGGCACGCCTATCTATAGTGGAACATACTTCTGAATCTGATCAAACCTACCAATGAGCTCTGACAATGGTAAACCCCGACAGCGAGTCTACCGGACACGGACCAAGTCAGGGTGTACCACATGCAAGTAAGTGACTTACCTGTCTTCCCTCACGATAAGAAATATACAGTACTAATTCCATCCATAGAAGTAAGTCATGTCGTCTGATACCCCGTGAAAATAAGACACGGTGATCGCCCACACACTAGCTTCTTTATCACCACAGTAAGGCGCGTCAAATGCGACGAAACCCGTCCAAACTGCCGGAGATGCACTTCCACAGGCCGCAAATGCGACGGCTATGCTACCAACCTCACCTCTACTCTTCCAACCACCGTCCTTCCACGTCCTTCCCACGCCCTAACGGGCTTCCGCTATGCCACAGGAGCGCGTGATATCCGTTCATTCCAATTCTTCTACGAAAAGACCGTCTTCTCTCTAGCCGGCTACTGTGGCTCAGAATTATGGAGTCGGTCAGTCTTGCAAGTCAGTCAGAAAGAGAAGCCCGTATGGCACGCCCTGGTCGCCTTGGGTGCACTGCACGAGAACTTCGAGAATGGTCAGCAAAGCCCAGGGCCCTGGTTCAGCCAAAGAAGCCATGACACCTTTGCCTTGCAACAATACCTTGCGGCCATCCGGGCTCTTTTGCGTCCGTCCGAAGATTCAGGTAGTCCATCGTCCACGTATGTGATCAGTAGTCATGGCGCGACGCTCTCGGTGGACGTGTGTCTTATATCATGCGTGCTGTTTGTCTGCTACGAGGTATGTCTTCCCACTACTCTTTTTGAAGACACACATTCATTTAACCATCACTCAGATCATGTCTGCCCACTACGTCGCAGCCCTCAGCCACATCAGAAGCGGCATGAAGATCCTAGGCGAAGTAGCCTACGACGCAAGCACAGGAACATACCACCATCCCCTGCTCAGACCATCCACTGTGCCGAATCTCGAGATCGATGAAATACGCAAACTCCTCATCCGCCTACAGATCCAAGTATATGCCCTGGTACTACCCCATCCCCATCCCCAACCCAAGCTCCCTCCCCATACTAACAATCCCACAAAAGACCCGATCTATCGAAGACAGCCCAGCCCACAGCACCGCCCAACTAAAATGCACTTCCAACGACATCATCGAAATCCCCTCAACCTTCACCTCCCTCTCCCAAGCCCGCAACATCTACGAACACTACAGCAGCACATACCGACACGACTACCACACCCTCATCGACACCCAACCCTCAACACCACTATCGTCATCGCCATCACCATCACCAATAACAAACCCATCCCTCGCCCCCCTAATCCACCACTACGCCACCATACTAACCAAATGGTCCACCGCGCTCGACCACTTCGAACAAACCCGCGGCTCCACCCTCACAACCAAGGAACAAATCGGGCTCAAAATCCTCCAAATCCACCGTCTCGAATACACCATGATGCTCGAACAATACAACTCGGGCTCCTCCGACTCCACAATCTGGGATAGATTCAACCCTATCTTCAAACAAATCATCTCGTTATCGAAATCCGTCGTGCAGATGTCCAGCCCCTCATCATCATCACCCACCAATATCACCTTAAATCCCACATTCTCCCTCGACCTCGGTATCATCGCCCCCCTCTACACAACCGCCACGTTATGTCGTGACCCCCTCACCCGGCGCGAAGCCGTCGATCTTCTCCGCTCCTGTTCCCGACAGGAAGGCGTCTTCAGTAGCCAATTATGTGCCATCATGGCGGAGAAGGTGATCGCGCTGGAAGAGCATGTTGCGCTTGCAGCCGGGGGTGTGGACTATGCGAGGGATTTTGCGGCTATTACGGGGATGGTCTTGAGGGATGGAAATGAATTGCAGTATCGGTCCGCGGTGATTACGAGGTGTTGGGAGGTGCCGGAGAAGGCGAGGCTCACGTATGCGTATCCGGAGTTTGATCTGGTGGGCAAGAGGGTCTATTTTACTATTGGGCAGGATGATAAGGTGCATGTAAATATTCCGTGGTGGCCCGGGGGTATGGTGGTTTTTGGGGCGGAGGAGGGGTGAAATGTCGATGAGGATAGGGTGGGGGTTAGTCCTGCGGTTGTTAGACTGAGTATGTACTGTGTGTGTACTAAGGGAGTGGAAGGCGAAATATAGGGTATCATGTGCAAGAGGGAGTATGGTGTTTAGGGAGGATCTAGAGCTGGGCAGCAGTCCACGTGCGTCCACTGCCTTCGGCTTGGTTATTTTTGGGGAAATCGTTTAGTCTTCATATATAGATGTTCAATTTCAAAGCCACCGTGTGGCAGTTCTAGTAGACCAATAGAGATCCAAGAGTCAAGAAGCATAAATCATAGATACAAGAAAGTAGGGGCTCCCCATAGGGCCAACTGCTAATCACTTTGCGCCATTTGTCGCCATCCAAATGAAAGGGTTCTCAAACGCAGATAAATCAGACATATAGGAAAGAGCGTGCAGATCATTTCACCTCGTTGGCGTCAGAGAATGGGCTCTCGACGCGCGGTGGGAGGTGTCGACTGCTTCGGTTAGACTGGGTACCTTCGGGTCTCTCGAGCAAAGATGACGCTCGGGCAGACGCTCGGCGATCGGTCTCTGCGGGTTGATCCTTGAAAGGGCTCTGGCTGACGGCTGGCGAGTCTTCAATCACGGTAGCGGGTCGTGATTGTGTATCCTCCTTAGCCGTCTCTGTCTTGTTGGCGTTCTGTGCCGGTGTAGTCTTCGGCGCCGAGTCTTCTTCATCCGAGGAGTTTTCGTCGAAGCCTGAGGTAGGCGTCTCTTCCTTTTCTTGGGTACTAGGCGACTTGGAAGCAGCCGCACTATTTGTCTCCGGTTGCTCCTCGATGGTCTGGACAGCGGGAGACGCAGAGGCGTTGTTGTTCTTCTTCTTCGAGGCACCTCTCACCATAACCGGCTTGGCGGTAACAGTGCGTGCGACAATCGAACTGTTGCTGGTAGTCGTGGTGACGCCTGCCTTGGCGAGTTGTGCCTGGGTGATGGCGGGAACAGCGGGCGCATCTGCGGCTCCGTTGATGTTGACCACCGCCGCCCGTGTGCGCATGACCTGTTGTGCAGGCATCGGGCTGACGATGGCATTGTTCCGGTAGATAGTGGTGGCCACACTGCTGCGCAGACTGGGAGCGATGCTACGGCGTTCGT